TCCCAGGCTGGTCTCCATGGAGACCCTGCCTGCTCACCCACTCCATCTGGTGTGCCAGGGGTGCAGGTGGGGTGGATGGGCAGGGCCCAGTCTGGCAGGAGCGGTGACACTTGCAGCAGCAACCAGAGGGAGCTACCACTGCTGATGTAGCTGGAAAGCTGAATCTAGGTGCTGTGCTGCCTGAACCCTGCTACTTGCCTGAGGGCAGCGGGACTGGCTGCACATACCTTGGCCTGGGATGCCCCCTGCTCCTGGGCTAGACAGGGCCAAGAGACCTGCTGCAGGCCAGATAACATCCCTTGGAAGGCTGGATCTGGCCTGCAGGCCACATTTTGCTCACCCTGTACTGGAACCTGAAAAGAATAAAATAATAATTTAATGTAATCTGAGAAAGTGAGACCCAGTATGTGTATCTTTCATTTAAATTATGCCAAAAGGCAGAGATGTGCTCTGCATACATGACAGGAGAATTGTGCCCTAAAAGAAAAAGGGGCATATTATTTTTATGTCTGGATACTTTAAGAAGACATTATTAATGCTGCATAATAATTACTGAAGATGAAAATGCACTTCCTTGACTCAACTTCTGCTTTATTTGCAAACAAGTCTAATTTGACTTTTATTTAAATACAGATCTTTAGTATCTTTAAATATACTATATGTGTATAAATTTGCACATAAATTTAGACTGGATATTAGAATAGAGTTTCTAATGATCATATTAATGAAGTTCTGGAATAACTTTCCAGTAGGAATTGACTTTTCAGTTCCATCCTGAAAGCATTTTATTTCATGTATGGTTACCTGAAACAGTAGACAACTTGGCTCAGTGACTTCAGAGATCCCTTTCTACCCTGTGCTCCAAGGTTCTTATTAATGGCTAAAAGCTTTGTCAAAATTCAGTACTCATATTCTTATTAGGTATCCAAAGACTTGCTCTTTTGTATTTAGAAACACATGAGGGCATCAAGGATGTGGTGTATCATGTGAAAGACATCATTACAGGTATAGTTAATTGTGCCCAATGTGAGTGACAGGCATAAAAGTGGTTTGATGATACAAGGCTTTCTTTATCATTAGCTTGTACGTTTTCCAAATGATTACGCAATTGCTCTCTATCCTTCCAATCTCACTATTGCTACTCTTCCTTGAAGGCTGCTGGCTACACCTGTGTCCAGTTCTCTAGTAATGTTGTTGCTAGTCCTGGCCATTTTCAAGGGGCCTAGGCTAAGATGCAGAAGCGTTCCTAAGCAGAAGGCAAAAGCCTGTTTGTGAGTGACCATAGTGTGAACTTATGCAGATGTGACAGCTAACTTGGTTAGCAAAGTAAAGAAAGCCATCAAGCATAACTAAATAAAGCACAAGGCCTGAAAGGAGTTAAGGGAGGACCATACACTAAATAATCCAGATATACTATATCATAGCTTTATCTTAATATATTAGTAGTAGTGATTGATGTAGTCAAATGTATTAAATGTTATTTTGCTATAATAGATATATTTTGGTAAGATGCTTATATAACTTGTTTAAAAAACTAAATCAGCTTCCTCAGAGACAACCATAAACTAAGGTAAAAAAACAAAAAGCCAGACGAGCATTGAGCAGCACTCCACAATGGAGAAAGAAGGGAGATTAGTAGGGACCTACTGAATTCAGGGTGGAAGTGGACTGTGTGGCAGCTCCTTTATCTTGCAGGTTCCCCCTGCACATCCCCCTGCCAGTTGGCAGAGGGGCCTTGCCACTCGCTCCTGATCGGCAGTTAGACAGGAGTATCTTTACTGGAGCCTTTCTATTGGTGGCTCCACCCTCCTGTTATGGGCCAACCGCCTGCTTACTCTCCTGCCACGCCTTGATTTTAATTGATTAATTGACTGATGTAATTAGCGGGAGACTGCCCACTTTATGCGCCCCAGTGCCAGGGGGCGCTATCTGTGGCTCCTTTTCCACCCCTACACCACAGCCCCATCTTCACAGATGGTACTGACGTAGTTTTTGAGCTGGGCCCTGTTGTGGCTTGGCCCTCTCCTTTACCTCCTTGGGGCTTCTCGCCGCCCCCCCCTTGCTCTGGGGCTTCTCACTGCCCCCTTACTCTGGGGCTTCTCGCTCTTCGCAGCCCTTTCTCTGGGCTCCTTGTGGCCCCCCTTGCTCTGGGGCTTCTCACTCCTTGTGGCCCTCTCTCCAGGCTCCTCACTGCCCCCCTTGCTCTGGGACTTCTCACTGCCCCTCTTGCTCTGGGACTGGGGCCAATGCACCCCAAATGCTGCTCCCTGTCTGGCGCCAGGGTCCCCATGCTACCGTGGAGTCCCTATGAGGCCTCCAACCCCTAATAGCCTCACCCGGTCCTCCGGTTAAAACAGAGAACACAAAAACACAAAGCCCCTGGGCTATAACATAAAAAGCTGGACTGTCCGGCCAAACAATATTCAGTCCCTACCGGGAAAACATTCCAACCCCAGCAGTGACCAGAGGATGCTCACACAGTCAGAGTTCTCCCCTCCAACTGTACTAGCCGAGCTCCTCCTCCCTCGGTCACCAGAGGGAAACTGCCCTCCTGGCCCCCTGCCTGGGCTTATATGGGCCAGGCCCTGCCCCTTCCTGTCAGCTGGCCCCACCGGTTGCCCTAGCAACCAGCACCTGTGACTCTGGCTGCCCTGGTGACTGACAGCTAAGCCTCCCCCTTCTTCTCACCAGGGGTCTCACCCGAGCTGTTCTTCTGCTCTCAGGCGCAGGGCACCTGAGTGCTCTGTGACAGGCAGGTAGGCAAAAACCATGGTTTAAAATATAGTGCTGTTTTTGCCTCCTGTTTAGTCAACAGCAAGCAGCAGGGCATCCGCTAGTATGGCCTCCACTAGTAAGTTCCCACCAAACCATTATCTTGTGCAGAAAATTGGACTACTATGTAATGGTACATGACAGTCCATTTTACTTTAACATCAGTTAAATTAATCAGTAATCAGTTACCCCAAAGTCTGGGATTCCACTAAGGTTAATGGCTAAGCCTTCCTGACTTCAGTTGTCCTGGATTTTACTCAGTAAGTTCCCACAACCCAATGATATTAAAAGACAAGGTGCTATACTATCATAATCTGTTTAGAACCTCTTTTTCCTTTCATACTTTCATGAAGATCTAGAAGGAGGCAAAAAACTCTTTTAGGAAAACTACAGCATCCAAGAGGAAACTTAATGCAGAGGTAGTTTTTTTTCTTAGCATTATTATGGCGGTAATATGAGGTCACTGTCATAGCTGGAATTTTTTAAAATTGAGAGATTTGATTTTTAAATAAGATGTATAGTAATGAGTAACTGGAAAATATCAGGTTCCCCAAAGATGTATATTATCATTATTATCATCACCATTATCATTATTGTTCTCTTATCTTCTTTCTTCTTCTTCATTTTTGTTCTTGCGTTATAACAGCCATTGATGCATGTGCAGAATATAGCAGGCCATAAACAGTCAAACCATGCTTACATACTCACAGAAAAAGAATCACAAACATAATTCTTTCAGGTAATCCTTACCTGAAGGAGCACGACATTTTAAACGAATGAAATGCTTTACTCCATTTCCAGCATTCTTAATGCCTTCACCAGCAACTTTAAGCACCATATTTTCTTGCATGCAACATGTACTTTTTTTTCCCGAAACCAGCTGCTGGAAATTGGATTGCATATTATTTGTGAGGAAATGCAACAACAGCAGTTTCTGCCCCATAAGCTTCAGCTGGGTAAAAGTGAAAATAATGTCTGCCCTTGATTCGCAGGGAGCAGAACAGTGAGCAGGCTAAGGTCCCTAGCTGCTGCTGCTCAGTTACTTACTGCCAGGAAAGATTATTTTTCTTCATTCTACCTTTCAAAAACAAGATGCATATATTATTTTGGGATGTATTATATACAAGAAAATATGGTATAATCAAATCTTCTTGAGGTACCACATCATCTTCACTTTTGTGACCAGGTTGTGATATTCTCTTAGGTGCTGTGCACAGTATAATCTCCTGGGATAGCAATATTAATGAGTAGTTCTGTCCTGGTCTTCTTATCCACAAGGTTGTATAGCATGATACAGTCTACAGTGGATGTTGTGTCCCAATAATTTATTTTTTTTTATCTTTCAGGATGGCTGGCAGCCTGTATTTATAGTAAGCTTATGGAGTTGATCAACTTTTTGTTAACAGACAATTATGTTGTGTTGTGCCACCTGGTATATTTCAATTAAACATTCCAATCAAATGGAAAAGAAAAGGCACAATGAAACACCTCCTCTCTTTCTTTTTATTATCACTGTATCTTGATTGTAATATATAGTTCATGGACAATAACAATTGAAAAATCACATGATATTTTTATGTTGCTATTTTCTTCATCTTTGTCTAAGCTATGGAGGTAATACCTCCCACTTACTTGAAGTCCATACTTCTGTCAGAGGACCAAGCACATTATTCTGTCAGCCCTGTCATAACATACTTCATATACAGCTCCAGACAGCTTAGTATGACTGATTCATCATCACCCTTGTTGTTGTTGTCATCATCATCATACTATATATGTCATAGAAATTGCTTTGCCAACTTAACTATTATAGAAAAAATAACTTTGGCTGTATGAAATGTTTAGGTCACTCATTCTAAAGGAGTTTTCGTATAGACATATGAAATATTGTGTGTGTCTGTGTGTGTGAATACTGTCAAGCCATACATTTATTCCACCTGTCACTACATTGGACACCAGCATAGTTAAATATTATAAATATATATTATATACTACATATTATATACGCCTAAATCAGACCTATCCCAATAATGGTTTATAACATATATATTTTCAAGTAGTCACAAAATAAATGTCTGATATGAATGAACATGTCTATAGAACAATATTATTTAAACTTTAATTTAAGGTTTAAGTAACTATGGCTCAGGTCCCTAGCTATTTTAACTATGGTATGCAATCAAAAAGCATTTGATGCACATTTCAAGTAATTTGTATATATTTTTCAGCTGGATTTTGCCATTGATGGTCAGAAAGGGAACATCACTGAGAGAGGCATTCTTTCAATGACAAAAGAAGAACTATACTTAGAATACGAAGAAGTGAGTGTATTATATAAGTTATATTTTATTTACCTAGCAGTAAAATATATTATTTGTTATTTAATATGAAGCTGGTTTAAATCTCTGTATATAAATAGAAAAAAGTTTCCCTAGTAGTCTGTTACTTACTAGTGTGTTAACTTATTTGAAGGCATTTATAATACTAATCTCCTAATACATATGGTGAGTTCAGCTTCCTTAACCCCCAGATTTACTACTGCTTCCTTCTGTTATTATACCAAGCATCAGTGCCAGATGGCAATTCTCCCACTTGGCTATGTATAGAACATGCATTAATACATCTCTTTTCTCCTTCATGTGAACTGGATTGTACTTTCTTTTAAAACTTACAAAGTGATGGCAACACAAATATGACCCTGTTTTAAATTTCACTGCCATTGCATGAGGATTTTGTTTTTAGAGTTAACTCAACCCTTCTTATCAGAAACAATATTTTGGGAACTCTAAAATGGGACAATCCATTCTAGCTGTATTAAACAATTAGGTTTAGCATTAAACCAAACAAGTCCTGCATTAAATCATACTTTTGGCAATATCTGAAATGAATATGTACCTTATACTGCCTTTTTGGAAACTCTGCAGTGTGTGATATTTGAAGAGATGAGTGCAACCAAATAATTTTATTTAAATATGGATGCTCCTTTAATATCTGAAATTTTCATACCAGGACTGACACAGATACAAATAAGACCTCAGAAACTCTGAAAAGCCTTTGGTTCTTTTCTTATGTTATTTCTGTATGTAAATGACTTTTTTTTGAAAAGTGGAAATGTTCATTTCCAAAGATCAAAAACTAATTTAATATCTGAAATGGTAGCCTTTGGAAGACTCACATACATATGTGATAAAAGCTCACTAGGTGTGTCTACATGTGAAATTATGGCACATGAAAAAACTGTGGAGGTTATTGCTCTGGAGTTTATTGCTCCCAGGTACTCCTGGAAGCAATAAACTGCGGAGCAATAAGCTCCATAGTTTATTCATGAATAGCACATTGAGCTGGGGTGGAGCAGCCCTGACTGGCAGTGGGCTCAGGGGGTCAGCCTGCCAGCCTGGGATTGCTCCTTCTGGCTCAAAATGCTGTGGAGGGGCTGGCTGGGGCATGAGGGTGCTTCAGTGTGGGGCTAGCCAGCAGGCAGCCTCTGCACTGAAGCCCCCTCATGCCCCAGCCAGCCAGGGCAATATCTACACATGTGGTGCTGTGGAGTTTTTTACTCTGCAGCAGCATAGTACTTGTATTTACTATTCTGTAAGTACTGTTCTGCTGAGGAGTAAATAATTTTATTTCAGCCTAATAGCAGCACACATGTACATGGCGAGATGTTTACTATGTAGCTAGTCAACTGAGGAGTAAACGTCTTGTCTAGACGTACCTACTGTGTTTCAAGATATAGGAACTTTTTGTGTCTTAATCTTTATTTTTCTTTATTTGGCATCAAAAATTATATATTATACATATATATACATACACATGTATACCTATATATACATACATACGTTCACACATACAAACATACATATATATACACACACACTTCCAACTTACCCCCACGTACTTGAATATATATATATGATACTTTACCAGATAATTTTATTTTACTAACAACTGTCTCACTATTCTTTCTTTCCTTGGTTCCTCCTATATTTGTGCCAAAGGATACTTTTGTTCTCTTGGGTGATCGCCTTAGCCCTTTCTCTTCTACTTATCATTTTTCTGAGGTAGAGAAATGCATGAATGGTGAACTTGTGGCCCCAGTGAAATCAGTGGCAAAACTTACATTAGCTTTAGAGGAACCAGGTTTTCAACCTAAAAATATTATTTGATATGCAGTGTTATTTGACAGCCAGATGCCTATCCAGTCTTCTCTTAAAGACCCCCAAGGTAGGGGAGAACACCACCTCCCTTGGAAGCCCATTACAAATGTTGGCGACCCTTACAGTGAAGAAGTTTTGCCTGATATTTAGCCTAAATCTGCTGTCAGTTTGTGACCAATGTTCCCTGTTACCCCAAGAAGCGTCCTGGTGACAGAGCCTCTCCGTTCCCTGTTCATGAGGGTGCCTCTTGGGGTAACAAGGGTCCATGTGAATGAACACTTCTCTCCACAGAAATCCCAGCTGTTCTAACTGAGATCCCCTGAAGGCATAAAGATCCAGCCTCTTGTATGCAATTGGAGGTTTGGTACCTCTGTTTATACATACTCAGTTCTACGGTTTTCCTGGTCTTGGGGAACACTCCTTAAATTTGTCCTTAATATATTTTATAATACAGAATTCCTCCTAGCCATAATGTTGACACATAAAAGTGTCTTCACTGTAGCTAAATAATGTATCATCCACCATAAAGCTTAGTTACTTCCTTTTGCTTTCATTTGAATTGCATTACTGCTCTAAAGAAAAATGTTAACAAAGTTATTTCTTTTCAGGGAAAAAAACTGTAGTTTACAATGTCAAGACATAGTGAGCTAATCATAAGATTCTGCAGGAAATATTGTAATGAAGAACTATTAAATCAAACCTTTTCCTCACAACGGCTCATGCTGAGAAGTTGACAGCGTATTCTATAAATGAAATAATAATACAAAATTGGTGCCAGGCAAAAGTGGACAGGATTTCCATGTAGATTTGTAGATGTAAAAAAGCCGTTATTCTTTCAGAATAGAAGCTTATCAACCAATATATTTTATTGTAGTAACATTGGTAAAAGAACGTGTAAATATCATAAAGCTTAAGGTATTATAAATCTAAATATATTATATAAATTATGTTTTGTTTTTTCTGTCAATTAGCTGTACCTAACATCAGTTTATCTTTGTTTTCTTTACTCTTTCATCCAGACTCTGTTCTCTTAGGATTTAGGGACCTAACTATGATCCCATTTCAACCTCTTTAAGTCCTTAACATTTCATCAATGCATCTATTTTTGTGACACACTGGGCATGTCTAAATGTGCTCCTGACTGCACACTTGGTACTGTGCAGTCATGTAATACTTGCTAAAGCAGTGCTATGCAGTCCCGGCAGTGCATGGTTGTTTTTAGATGCTATGTTGAAATAGTGATGAGCTACGGTGATATGGCTGGTTGCTATGGTTTGTGCCTGCTGTTGCTACATTGCCATAGCACAGGGGTGGGCAATTAGTTTGGGCAGAGGGCCGCTTACTGAGTTTTGGGAAGCCATGGAGGACTGCATGACAGGCAGTCGGGGCAGATAAATATTAATTTTTAAACTTTTTAGGGGCCTCGTGGGCCGGATAGAATGGCCTGGTGCACTGTATCCGGCCTGCTGGCCGCATTTTGCCCACCCCTGCCTTAGCAACATGCTATGTTGTCGGAGCTTGTCACTATGGTAACATAGTGTCTCATGTAGGCATACTGACTGGGTACATCTATCTGTGTACTTTAATGTGCATTAGCCTATTTTAATGCACATTAAAGCATCATGTAAAAAGTTGTGCTTTTTACTTAATGCGCATTAAAATAGGCTAATGTGCATTAAGCATCACTTGAAGAGCACGTGCTTTAGTTAATGTGCATTAAGCCAAGCTAATTCATATTTTTGTAGTATCTCACAGTGGAGAGTGCCTGTACACCAGCATGGAGGCTGCTCCACTGTAATTACAGCGTGTCAGAGCAGACTCAATTGAGTCTGCTGAAGCACAGTAATTACTGTACTCCAGCAACCTCCTGTGTCTTGTGTATCAGCATGAATGAGCTTTAGTTCAAGTACCCCTGCCACCATTTTTAAGCACGGGACACTGATACACGAGACGCTGTGGCACTTTAATTAGAGTAGCTCTCAGAGCATATGTAAAAGTGGCCAGAGGTACTAGATTTTATGAGCATTAACATGTAGATGCACTGGCTATTATCTTAGCCATGTGTAGGTAATAAAAAATAAGGATTATAAAATGTGTAGGTTACAAAAAATAAGGGAGAAAGAGGATCCAGTCATTTACTTCTTTAAAGTACAGGTGGCTGTACTTTAAAGATGCCTTACTGAGAATGCAGGAACAAACCATCCTGATGTGCAGGAAGACTAGCAAATATGGCTGTCCCATGGGCACAGGCCCAGAAAAGGGGGAAGCCTTGCTCAGAGGCAAATCCCAGTCAGAAAGAAGAAAAAATAACAACTTACCTGTTGCAGGGGCTGGGAAGAGTGGGAAAACGCGCGGTGGTGAACCGCCCATGCAATTCGTCACTCACACCTATATTCAGCTGAGGCCGGGTGTCGTCACAGGGAGATGCCACCCGGCGGAAATAAGAAGCACCCCCAAAGGCACAGGAGGGGTGCTGAGGAGTGGAGGAGCTGCGGGAGACTGCAGCATGCAGCCACGGCAGGAAGTGGCGGCAGCAGAAGCAGCCATGGCAGAAGCAGCGGCTGAGGTGACGGCGGCAACAGCAGCAGCAGAAGCAGCAGCCACAGCAACCAGCGCCACGAAGAAAGCTCCGCCAGGAATAGAGGGAGCTGAGACGGTAGGAGCTGCAAGGTGTCCCTGTGGCGGGGAAGACTGACGGGGGACTGACAGAACCACTGAGGAGGGCAGCAGTAACCGTGCTGATAATCAGCACAGGAACCCTCAGTAGAGGCAATGGGTGTCGCAGCTCCAGGGTGGAGGAGGACGCTGGAGAGAAGGGGAGAGAGACCCCAGTTGGGGGTGAAAGCCAGGATCTAAGCCCGGGGGCGCGTGAGACTAGGGGAGACTCCCTCCTATGGGTGTTCCCTGTTCAGTCTTTTTTCCTGTTGTCAAGTTCCCTTGGCAGTCACGGTAGCAGCGTCTTGATTTTGGTTTTATGCTGTGTCACCTTAGGGTGAGGGGCTTGCAGTGAAGGTGTTACTCATATTCCCCTTTAGGGTTGGTCCATTTTCCACCCTTAGCAAGAGTGGGTTAGCATAGCCCTTAGCGGAAGGCCAAGGCAGATGGGACTTGGTCTAATAATGAGGGCACAAAAGCGAGGGGACTTCGTGAAGGCTAATGGCCTC